AACCAATAGATAAACAGCAGAATAAAGAGTGCAAAATACAACAGATTCTAAGAACATTCAAATAGAAATCAGTATAATGTTAAAATGAAATACCTTCCACAATAACTCTGGCATGTCTAACGCAGGTTGGTCAATTGCAAGCTCAAAAATAGATCTTGCTCGCTCTGTTTCAGCCAAAGATCTTTCCAGTTCTGCATACTTGCTCCACGCATAGCAGTTCTCTGGTGACCATTCAAGGTACTTTTCATACAGTGTACGGCAACGGTCTATATTACCCAGTTGCAGCTCTATTTCGATGTATTTTTTAAAAATCTGGATGTTTATGAGAAACAATATAAGCAAAAAACAAAACCTTTCATGTTGAAGTACACAAATAAAACCCAAAGAAAAGAAAAAGTAAAACCCAATCAGTGGTTCTACCTTATCTTTTGGAGCCTTCCCAATTGCTGCTCCAAGGGTTAATCGAGCACCTTGGAGATTTAGCTGTCGGATTTCAAACTGTGCTGCTAACAACCAAATTTTTGCAAATGAAAACTTCTCGTGAGGAATGACCTTGAGGCACAACCTGGAGAAATAGCAATTCAATTCATTCTCACCGGTCCATTTATGTAAACATTATTTAGCAGATGCAAACATTCAAACACGGGTACTGAAAAGGTTTCACCAGTATACAGAAAAGAATGCATTGGTCTTTACATGTTCAAGTCAACGGAAAGCAAGTTCCTGCACTCGTGCACTCTCCAGAAAGTGCTCTTCCTAAATGTCATGATCATTATAGAATAAACCATACAAACCCCATTTGGTGAATGACAGCCTCCAAAATCCTACATCTCTGGATCTTTATACTTGCCTAGCAACTTGGCAGGAAAATGACACTTGCTTCAAATTACAAAGATTATGAATTATGGCAAACAATGCCTGGGGAAATAACAAAATTCCACACTTGCCCAGATTACAATATCTAATTTTTTTTTTTTGGTACAGATCACAATATCTAATTTCTACAATTGCATGTGCTTATCTATGATAAGATCAACCAGGCACTGAAAGCAATAAAATTGGATATAGGGACCATGTAAGCAAATTCAGCGCTTCAAGCCAGGGCAGGAGTAGGTAGATGATCAGATCATACAACAACTATTCAACAGCAATCATGAAAAGGTTTTTGCTTCATAACGTACTTTGATGCTGCACCCTCATTATAATTGAAGTTTGTGGCTAGATACAGTTCAATTTTAATAGGATATACTCTAACAGAAAGCAAGAACTAAGGACTGAAGATACTAGACTGCTGGAAACCTCAATTGATTACAAAATTTGCACTACTAATGATGGTTTATACATTTTGTCTATAGCTTCTATGAATTTTTCAGCTAATAGGAAGCAGATATATTCCCATTCCAAGCATTTATTAGCTAAGTCCTTTATGCCAAGAGCACATATATTACCATGATTATCTCTATTTCTGCCTTTATCCCTCTAAGTTAGTGTGTGAGCATTAAAAATGCAGACAAAGAAGACAGGAACAGTTTTAGCAGATTATTTCCCTTCAGATCAGCCTGTAGATGGTAAAGCTGGGTAAGAAGGGACAATCTTTTACTCTAGCTTCACACCCCTCAACTTGAACATGTCAAGGAGTTCCACCAAAGGTATACCTCTAACTAGTTGAAAAAGAGTTTAGGCACTAAAATGCTAGAAATGAAACATTTAGGACTCAAACAAGATCCTCTAAATCTTTAAGGCACCATTTTTAAAAAATTAGCTCCAAATTTTTTTTTTTTTTTTAAAGTATGCAAATGGCACTTTCCTTCAAACAATTTATCTAGTATAAAGACCCTTTAACAAAAGATAATGCAACATTGTATTGAAGCTACTAAGACTAATACATTGCACAACTTCTTGATATTATTGTGGCATTCAAATTGCCAATAAGTATCTGAAAACTACATGGGAGTCCCACTCCCAACTTCCATCTGCCCCAGCGTGGCAACATAGAGATTTGCATCAATCACAAGTCAATGTCGCAAGCATATATCAATTCAACAATCTGGACAGCCACTAAATAAAATAAAGTTTCACCCCCTAATCAGAGGATAGAGTAAGAAATCATCTACACTACAACACTGCTACTATAAAACTCTTCCCAAACATCAAGTAAAAGTTGACAGGGCAAAATATTTGTAACCTCACAATGGATTGCTGGTTCACATAATTACTAAACTTTGATGCACATTAACCTTCTCCTGCTGTTTGCAAGTGTTACTTTCAACCAAATAGAAACAGATCACGAGAATATGAAGCACATTTTTCATTAAAAAATGTTAATTGTCAAAGAAAGGTGCAAACCAATATTAACAAGAGAAAATGTTTCACACAATGCAGCTTCTGTATTTCAATTAAACTTCAGTAGCAAATGAGACCAGCAAGAACGATACTGATCATCCATTGGCAAAAACACCCATCCAAACTGAAAAGCAGTCCTGAAGCCTTTGGCACTTTAATAACTAAGACAAATTTCTCCTTCTGCTTAAAACTTGGAAATTGAATAAAAATTTCCAGTTCAAAACAAGCATAATGAAAAAGATCTAACTCAGGAAATTAAGCAAATCATTGAAGCAAAATCAGACAACGTTGAATGGTAGAAGTTCAACGCAACTTATCAATCTCGTCAGCAATTGGTACTTACTTGTAAACTTCTCTTGTACGCTCCATGTCCTGAGCATCAAGCTCCTCGTACAAAGCATAGTTGATCCTAAAGCACAGGCATATTAACCAATTAGAAACTACTATATAAAATAAATCATTCAACAGCACCAGAAACTCGTCATGAACTATTCAACATTACCACAAGTAAATATATCTCTGCCAATACCGCTTCTCCTCAGCTGGAGGGAGGTTAGCAATGGCTCGCTCATACACATCTCTAACTCTCTCTTTTATCCCAACACTCTCTTCCAATCGTATATAGTCAAACCAAGCATCATAATTCAATGGATTTTTCCGAACTTCATCCTCATACTGAAACCTCCTCTTTCCCACGATGGCGTCCTCAATCCCCTCCCTATCTCCATACTGCTTCTCAAAAGCTACAAACTTTCTATACAAATCCTCAGCCCTACCCTTCGGAATATGATCCAGTGCAAACTTGTAAATACACCTAGCCCTCTCCACCTCTTTACACTTCTCTTCAAACTCAGCAAATGCTACAAACAATACCTCGGCCTCCTCATCATCGGCCAACTTATCCACAGCCCTCTCATAACAGTTTCTAGCGCGAGCAATCTCCCCATTTTTCATCTCAAACTTAGCAAACCTAATCCAAGCATTCACTTTAGGATGACATACTACAAACCTCTCAAAGATTGCCCGCGCCCTCTCAACCTCATTATACCTCAACTCAAACTTAATGTACGACAACCATCCTTGTTGGTCCGGTTGCCAACTCATCCATCTTTCAAAAATTTGCCGCGCCCCAGCAACATTGCCGAGCATCTCCTCCATATGAATGTACTTATACCACAGCTGATCAACCCGGGGCAAGAGTGTAACTGCCCGGTCCCAAACATTCCTAGCATGATTAACGAACTTATTCTTCATTTCAACTTCAGCATACTTCAACCACATAGTGTGGTCTCGATAATCCACTTCGAGGGCCCGTTCCCACACGGACCGGGCACGGTTAAAATCGTTCTGGGACTCTTCCCACTTGGCGTATTTGACCCAGACACTTTTGTTCCATCGCACACGCCGAATTAAATCCTCGAATTCTTTGCGTTTGCGGAGACGGTAGTCAGCAAGCTCGGATGGGTCAGTAATTTTCTGTTTAGGTGGTCGTATTTCAGCTTCTTGGCGTTCTCGGGCTTCTCGAAGGATTTGCTCGGCAGTAATTTGGATTGGCGCCGGAGTTTTGTTCTTGACCCGAGTTGGCCTGGGGAGCTTCACCTCCGTTTCTTTGTGGGTTAGGTAGCCCAACGAAGGGTCGGATTCTTTCATAGAACCCATCTTTGTTGTTGTGTTGTGAGGTGAGGTAGTAAGGAGGACAAAAGTGTTTCCGAAGTTGAAACCTTATGTAAGAATTTATTGGGTTTTCTAGGTTTCCACCTGAGAGGATAGACACAACTGGGTTTTAGAATTCGGTGTTTCTGGTGGGCGGAGGGACGTGGCCGCCGGTGAAGGCTGTGCAAAATATATGCTACTGTAAATGAATTAGGGTAGAAAGAAGAAGGTTATTGGGAATTTGAGGAGGATTATGACTGATTCGGTGGGGCAGCAAGAATGAGAGGGAGGAGAATTTTGGGATTGCTTGAGAGCTAAAAAAAATCAGCGGCGGAGGGAGTTTGAAAATTGTAAAGGGCCGCGACTGAGTTGTGGGCTAGCAAGAATGAGAGTGAGGACGATTTGGGGTTTGCCATGGAACAAAGAAATCCGCCAGCGACAGGAAATTAATGGGGGACCGGGGCTCTTTTTTTTTTTTCCCCCTATATTGTCGACTTGGTTTCTAAAATCCATTTCTAATATTAATAATCAAAAGTAAAACGGTGTTTTGAATCAAGTGACCACCTAGTACTCTTTTCTTTTTTCTTTTTTTTTGGAATTCATCATATTATTACTGTAAGACTCCTATATATTTTCGCCAAAATAACAAGAATGACTTCTACATTTATTTTCACAATTTGCAAAGCCCCTGAAGTTTGCCAAGTTGATTTCATTAGTATACTTCCTGCTAATGAATTGGTCTATTGCACGTATAGTCTTAATCCTTTTATCACAGGGCGTTGTCGACTTGTAGTGCCTATTTTGGGGGATCTCTATTACTATTTTGACAAGCATGGGTGATAATTAATGCAATGGTGTGAGAGCGTTTGTGGGAGATTTATGATGAAATATGTGGACGTCTATCTTAGACTGATTTTCTTGTTGACTGCTTAAAATATTAGACAATCCTACCATGAAAGAAAACAGATAAAGCATGCCCTATAAAATTGAGGAAGCTACATATGGTGCTTCTTTTTTTTTTTTTTAAGTTGCTGGAAAATTAATATATTCATGCTACATTATGATAGTATTCATTGCATATTTGTATGCATGATTGCGAATATCATAAGTAGTAATTTCTTGTTATCTTAGACTTCCTTTTCGGGTATCAGATCTTGATTTTCATCATCTTTTGTCTCCGGAAGTTCTCTGGAGGTAATCCCTCTCCCTTTATTCGGCTCACCTGTACCTGCATGCAAAAAAGATAACGAAGACAGAAAAAGAATGCCCGCAGATCAGATGATTTTTTAAAGCAAAAGTTGTTAGAGATTGCCATAGCATTAAGATCATCAATTGCTTGGAAGAAATATGCATGAATCTTGATACTCTGAATCATGGTAGCGTACACTGACCTTAATTTCCTGATGGCAATATCATTGTCATTTACAGTTTACACCATAGACAAGTTGTTTGATATCTATTTATTCTTCAATGAGTAGCATGTGTAGTTTGTTTAACCAACATTTTCTATCCTAAACTGTTTTGCACACTATCAGCATTGAGAGAAGGCACATCTCTTTTCTTTCTTGCTTGGAATGTTTCGTGTTTCTTTCTTTGATTGAGGATTTCCCGTGATAAAACTTGGCAGGTTCATAGGCATCCTTGGCTCTGTTTCTGGTGAGAACCCCAAACATGTTCTTGAATTCATGGGCTACACAAAGTTTTTCACAGTCTTGTCGTTTCAAATTTTGTTCGTGTACAAATTTTCACCACATCTGGAATTGCATGGTTTGCAGACCGCAGTCTTCATCTTTACTCAGATTGGGAGTCTGTGCTGAATCTGCTGTTTAAACAAATTCTACACAGAACTTGGAGCAGACATGACGAAACACTGGAAGGACTCCATGAAGTTATTTCGAAGTCATATCGATCCTGAAATGGAAGAACGACTGAACTGGACAAAACTAGGTAAATTTTATAGCCCAGAACAACCTCAACCCTTACAGTATTATCGGAGGTTGTGGGGTTCTTCCATACTGAACAATTCAATGCAATTTAAAGCTCACCTGCCAGATCAATGTTATCCTCAACGTCGATTTTTGTGGTATACAGAATTGCAACGGGTACGCAGTAAGTTTGCCTGTCCTGTATGATGGGGGTAGTACTGTTATGATTGTTGAAATTGGTAGCTATAAATCCATTTTCTGATGAAGATTATGATGTGCTTCATCATAGTACTATAGTAGTGCAAACGTCCTCTATGCCAAAGAACTTTGCTAGAATGGGAGAGTTCTTTCTTTGTGTACTTTCACAAGAAATAGAGGTTTGGATTGCTCATAATGCAGAGGCAGCAAGACCAGAACACGCAAAATATTGATAGGCAACTCTCTGTTGCTAATTTGGCCGAACATTAGAAAAGGGTAGAGGTTTTTAGAAGTATGGCATACCATATCAAGTGCGTACCTGTATTCCATGATGGTTCTTGACCAAAATGAATGCAAAAGTAGCCCTTATACTTAGATAGTCTGAAACCAAAAACTACATGATGGAGTAAGGCAAAATTCCATGGTTGTAGCTGTTTACTTTCTGCCTGTTGTGAAAATTCTGTTTTCTTTCAGAGCAATGGTAACTAAAAGGCATAACATTTAGACCTAAAGACGGAAAGCCTCAGAGATGGCATTACGCATATCAAAGAGCTTGCACCTATTTCCTAACTGATGCTTCCTTCACCGAACACACCTGTGTAAAAGATTTTGGCAAATGTGACCGTATGTGATTTGTACAATATAAGCATAGAGTCACTTCCTTTTTCTCCCCGTGAATTTTTGGAGAGTTATTTCATGTTCTGTAGGCCATTCATGCATTATGTCTACATTATCACACAACATTTGTTTTTGTGCAGAAACTGAGAACAAGGTCAAAAGGTCTTTGAAGCTTATTAAGAGCATCAACCAAAACAGAGAAGCGAATCTAAAGAAAAAGATGGAACTTACTCAGCTCGTTGAGGATATCCACAAAGAGTACCAATCCATTTATGCCCTCTATGATAATATCAGAGGCGAAGTAAGGAACAAAGTGCATGGAAAAGATGAATCAGGTTCTTCTTCTTCTTCATCTACTTCTTCCTTGGGGTCCAACTCAGGTACAGAATATTATACACCAGAGGAACTAAATGCTAGAAATGCGGTACCTAATGTTGAGCTTCAAAAGGTAAGGAAAAGTGACAATCGAAAATGTGAAGATTCAGATCCAGAAGATGCCATCTTAAAAGATAAATTGACCTCCACCAGTGAAATTAAGAAATCCCCAAGCGTGGACTCATTAGTATCTCTTCACGAAGCACCACAATCAAGTGTAATTTTTAAAGATCTAAGGATTCAAGAAGAGCAGTCTCAAAGCGTAAGACAAAAGTTACTTGATGAATGTGCACAGTTAAAGGAAAAATTGCATGAGAAAGAAGAGGAGATAGTGTCCATCTCCAAGAAACTCCAAGCTTTTGGGGACCAAAAATTGTTTGAGATAGAGGAGCTAGAGAGGCAGGTGACAAGTCTGAAGCTTGAGCTGGAAACAGTGACCTCGCAGAAAAAGACCTTAGAAGAGACAGTTGAGACCAAGTCTAATGAAGCTAAACAGATGGGGAAGGAAAATTCAAGACTACAAATTCTGATCAGAGAACTTGAATCACTATCAAAAGAGAAAGAAACTCAAATTTCTTCTCTTCTTGAGAAATTTGAAGAAGACAAGAAGCAGTCACTGTCTAAATTTAAGGACCTGATGGCACAAGCCAGTGAGCTTCAGCTGGAAGTAGATAGTTTGCGCTCTCAGAAACGCATATCAGAAGAGCAATTGATGCATGCAACGAATGAAGGATCTAATCAAGTCAGTAGTCTAGTAAAACAGGTAGAGTTTCTGCAACAGCAACTCGATTTCATCAGCAGCCAAAAGTCTGAGTTGGAGTCGCAACATAAAAATAAATCTCTAGAAGCATCAGAATGCTTTATACAGATGGAAAAGACGAGAGATAAATTAACAGACAAGGCCTTAAATGGGCAAGAGATAACAGAAGACGAGGCCTGTCTAAAAGTAAAGGTAGAAGAGTTGGAGCAGGAGATACGTACAATATCCAGTCAGAAGATTGAATTGGAAGATCAGATAATTAGCACAAAGAATGAAGCATATCATCTAAAAGTTGACAATGAGAATCTCCACAGAAGAATTTTCGTCTTGGAGACAACTGTGAAAGAGAGAGAACATGAGCTATGTGCCCTTCAAAAGAAAATTGAGGCTCAGGAAAATGATATGTCAACTCAGATTAAATCATTAACAGCACAGATAAACAATTTCCATAAAAAACTGGGAACCTTGCACGATGAGAAAAGCGGCCTGCAACTGCAACTTGAGCAGGAAAAACAAGTTTCTTCTGAGAGCCTAAATCATATGGAGAGAAAGAACATCGAATTGACAAAGAAGATTGCAGATCAGCAAAAAACTGCGGCAGGGCTGGAGGAAGCTGTCAACATGTTGAATATGGAACACAAACAAGTCCAAAATAGATTTGACGATTCCAAGTTGAACTTCCAGATCGCAGAGAGGAAAATAGAAGAAATGGCCGAAGAGTTCTTCAAAAAATGTGGGGACAATCTCCGCATCTTGAGCCGGAGAATCCGAGTTGCAGAACAGTTGCATGTTGAGAACAAAGAATGGTACGAGAAGACGAAAGACAGGTATGAGCAACAAAACAAGGAGCTCAAAGAAAGGGTAGAAAATAACAAAGTTTGGCTTAGCAATATCAAGGATATGACCCTGACTGCAGACAGCACACTGTCAGATTTGGATGCTGTTGCTCTAAAGTTTGAAGGCTGCAGTGCAAACTTCCTCAACCGAATCTCCAAAGTTTCTTGTGAACTTAAGTTTGCAAAAGACTGGATCAAGAGGAAGAACAAAGCAATGACACACGTCAAAGATGATCTAGATTGCCTACTTACGCAGCTGGATCACAAGGAAGCTGAGATATTAGTATTCCGAGAGAGAGTCTGGAAATCAGAGAATAAAGTCAGAGAACTGGAGAAAATGATCACAGAGAACGAGGAAGCGATGTTGGCCCTAAAGGAAGAAAAAAGAGAAGCAATAAGACAACTGTGCGTCTGGATTGATTATCACCGCAGCCACTCTGATTATTACAAGAAAATGATATCTGATAAGACACTTCAACGCAGGAAAACAACTTGAGGGATTCTAGTTTTTTGCCTTTCAGTCAAAATTTCCCATCTTTAGTCGAGGATTCAAAAGCAGAGTTTTGGATCATAGGCTTCATTTTGGGAATACTACATGATAGGTGTATGTTAGCATAGCTTGGTCTAGTGTTCCAAACTGTATCTAGCAGGGAAAGTGAATCAAGCTTCAAGCTCTGATTGTCAACTAAAAATTCTTTACCCTTGTTGCTACTGAGTTTGATGGAAGCTATTATCATGACTTTCGAGTTTTGGCTCTCTAACCAATTTCGCTCATGTCGAGGGCAAATGCACCTAGTAAGATGGATATGTTTTCCCATATCTACAGCCCAGGAATCAGGATCAGCAAAGACAAGATATAATTATCTGGGATATCTTTTGGAAGCATGTTGCTTGATTAATAAGTGTGTTTGTGATTGACAACATTTTAACACCTTAAACAAGTTTATAGCTAAATGCCATGTGAACTGTATTCCTGAGTCAGGATCTGTTTGATAGACAAGAGTTCTTGAAGCCTGTTTCCTTGATGGATGCTTGTTTTCAAACTCGAACAAGTGATTCTCGAAGTAAACGTCTTTGTAACGAGAATGCAAATTACAACCCTGATATTTTAATGGAAAATTTGAGAAAATGTGATAATTTAATCTCGTCAGCAGGCAACATGAGTGAGTAAAAGCTGTAACAAAGGCGCAGTACCACCCCTTATTTAACTTCACGCCTTTACTTCCTACGGAAGACGCGCCTTTTTCCCGGGTAATTGGTTATAGTCATTTGCACGCTCAATTGCAAAAGTATGGAATCGTTTGTGCACCGCGCCAGCAATAAGCTCTAAGAAGAAAGTTACTTCGGTGCACATGGATCATAACAGTAGGGAGTACAAATTCTCTATTTCATACAAGAACCTTAATGGGCACAATTCTATTTGGATTTCTCCGAATTAGGGAGTAAATAAATGGATTAACCGAATCCTACTGGGTTTTAAAGTAATTATCAAATCTACAGAGACATCCCTAATTTTTAAATTTTTTGTGAATATTTTTTTTTAAATCATCTTTTTCATCTCACATATATATATATTAATTATTAAAATATATTTTTTTATAAAAAATTTCAAAAAATAGTAATCCGAAACGAACGGAATCTAAATATTTTAATGTCATTTACAACAGTGTATGGCATTCATGCAACGCCTGCAATTGGACGGCAGACTACTCAAATCAACACAAACAAAAATGCACAGGTTGCCGTCGTGGGATCCACCTGTCCGAATAATTGCGTTATAATTGGACAAAAACCAACTGCAATTCTTCTGTGTCCTTTTTTTTTTAACCCCACAAAAATTTCAGGTGCCAATTATAATGTTTGGAAAAGAATCAACATTAATAAATTACGACAGCTTCAATGAGACTAGTGAAGTAAATATAACAACGTTTAGGGGCCATTAATGAATGTAGAAACTCCAAAGATTCCATCTGTTGTCAATTTGTAGCATTGTATTAATTGCGGTGCCCACTCAGCTGCTGCGTTTCTAACATGTTTTGACAGTTTGAGCCCTCTCTCTCCTCTCTCTTCATCTTGGATATAATAATGTATATTGCACTTTTTCCCCCTAAGGTTTTTGCTTATCTTTAATTTCTGCCCGTAATAGTTTTAGTTCAAAGAGTTTGATGTTTGATTAACTGAAAAAGAGCGAGAATATCACTCACTTAAATAAAATATATTTTCAAGCTTCCACTTACTTATGTGCTGTATTGTTAACTTCTTATTGGTGGATGATTAGAATTTGGAAAGCCATAGAAAAGCAAAACAAAGAAGAAAATGAAAAGAATGAAATAGATCTCTAATAAGAAAGGAAGGAAACAAGTAGGAAAACCTATTAATGTTATCTTTTTTTTTTAATGTACTTTTCATTTCTTCTAGTAATTTATGATGTTCTAATTGAACCTTTAAGCATAGAAGTATCAATATATTAAAAAGGACAAATGCAAGTTCTTTGTTTGCTTGCATTGCAATTTTTGTTCTTTATTTATTTTGCATTAAAATAACACGACAAAGTCAAAAATTGCAACATTCAAAATTATGCCTAGTTTATGGTTTGAGGAAGGATATTATGACCTTTGTTTTTAATCAGGCAAAGTCGTCAACCACTAATAAAATATAAAGCTAAAACTATTATACACGACAAAGTAAAAATTATAATAGAGAAAAGGGATAGATTGAGTTTCAATAAAACCTCAGGGGGTGTCAAAAGTAAAAATTACCCCTCATGTTTCTCTCTCTAGAAGTACGCATACCTGCATAGATGCCATAACAGACAAATCTCTTTTTCCTATCCTGGTATTGTTGTAAATATCATTTTCACCTTTTTCTGTTTTTTTCTCCCGTGGAGAATTTCAATTTTATTTGGAGCATCAAGTTGTCTCTTTTCATTTTCAAGTAGACTCCTCCGCTCCAAAATCTCTCTCTCTCTCTCAACCTTTCTCTCAAGGTATCTCTTTTTTGATGCTGGCTGCAGATTAAGGGAAATTTCGCTCCTTGTGTTTGGAGAGCGAATTCTTGAGCTCTGAAATAAACAAAGTTCAGGTGAATTGCTTCTACTCTTTTATATCAAGCTGAACTCTTTCTACTTTGTATTCCTTCGCCTTTTGGATTATTCGGATATGTTGTTTTCGTTGAATTCTTTGTTTTCTTGGTTGCGGTTTTATGTTATTCATTCATTTTCTTTTGTTGGAGCTTGAAGAGTCAGACTCTCATGTTTGATTATATAATCAGGTTGATTATTGATTGAGTATTGAAGTTAAAGAGCTCAGTCTTGAATTGAAAGTGTGAAAAATTAAAGTTGAATTTGAGATCCACTATTTGATGATAAAAAGCTTTCTTGTCCGATGGATTGCAGTTGCTCTGCTTTCTGCTTATTACTTCTTCTTGACTGGATGTGTTCAAGCGTTTGAATTTGTGTGTAAGGAAAATAATCAACTGGATGATTACATGCTTCTTGTGTTTTTAGGATAAACAAATTATCATTTTTTTTTCCTTTTTTTCCTTATCGTTTCTTTTTTCGGATTAAGATTGCAAATTATTATTATTGGGGTGGCGGTGGTGGTAGCTGACTGGTGGGCCGTGTATTAAGCTTGTTTCCACCTCAATTTCCAGGCTGCCTGACTTTTTTTTTTTTTTTTTTTGTTTAATTTCAATGCAAAGTTGGAGTTAGTGATTTTTTCTTTTTTGGATGAGAAAATTCCGGGGTGATCAAATTCAAGTTTATTTTTTCAAAAAAAAAAAAGCAGTCGTGTTATATGAAGATTTTGTTGCCTTCCGGAATTGTCTACTCAGAAAGTGTCTTATGTGCCAATTGTCTCTTGTTTTTCCACAGGAATTCAATCAAATCAGGGAAAGAAAAAGGGCTTAAGTAAACGGAGATTTATGCCACCAACTGGTACGTACTGTTCACATTTAGAATGTTCAAAAAGAAAGGCGTTTTGATGGCTTTTTTTGGTTGGAGCTTAGAGAATAGAATAAACATCACGTCTGTAGTTTTCTTAGCTGTCTATTTGGGTTTAGATTTTGGCTCTCTCAGAGCGCACGGATCAGGATTTCATTAATTAAAATTTCATTAACAAAAATATTTGCATTGGTAATCCAATAATTTATGATTAAAACCCAGCACAACAGTATACCAGTTTGCATTCACTGAAAACATGGACCAAATTTTCTAGTGGGCCAGACTTGGAGCATTCGGACTTGCCGTCTCCACATGGCATGGCTGCTAGCATTTTGTAGTTTGTATACTACTTAGTAAGTATTAGTGTCCTACTTGGGACTTAGGATTCATTTTTTCTTTTTCTTTTTTTTTGGTATGGGTTTTTAATTTTATCTAATTTCTTTCTATTTGATCCATATTCCTTTAAAAATAGATGTTTATATGTTTCTTGATTTTTATTTCAGAGAAACAATCATTCCAAAAGTGAAAGAAAGGACAGAAATTGTTTATTGTGAACTTGAGTCTTCCGTTTTGTTTTGGTTAAATCCTTAGATTGCTTATTGGTACTGGTGTTCCATTAAATTTTTTCAGTCCTCTTAACATCTTTTTAGGCACGCAATCTGAATACAACTTACAATGACTGGAGGTGATAGCATTTCCGTTTAGAAGAATTTTTCCAGACTCAGAGAACTGGCATTCCTAGTGATTGTGGCATCCATGTCTCAGTAAGCAATTGAAGACTTCTTTTAGTACTAAATAAAGGAGGAGATGCCGAAGCATCGGTGGAGAGAGTCAATTAAATCCTTTTTTGGAAGCCACATTGACCCTGACAAGGATGAGGAACTTAAAGAATCAAAAGCAGGTATATACACTTCACCTCCATGATTAAGCTTGGAGTCTGAATATTGATTTCTTAGAGAGAGAGAGAGAGAGCCTACATTGGTGCAAATTCCAGATGCATTCAACAATAGGTACCATCTGCGAAAACAATTGCTGCACTTTGCAAATATATTTCTTCCTTCATTGTTCTTAAGAGTCCAAATAGAGAAAGGGCATGGAGGGGTAGATGTTGATTTTACATTTTCTCATAATTTTGTATAGTAATATCTATGTGTCTCAAAAATTCTCGAAATTTGTTGCAGAAATGGAGGATAGAGTTCAGAAGATCTTGAAGCTTCTCAAAGAAGATGGTGAGAGAGATGGAAACGGGCCTCTGGCTAACATGATTGAGGATTTCCACAGACATTATGAATCTCTCTATACTCGCTATGATCACCTAACTGGGGAGTTGAGAAAGAGAATCCATGGGAAACATGGAAAGGATACTTCTTCTTCTTCATCCAGCTCAGATTCAGACTCCGATCATAGCCCATCAAAGAAGGGCAGCAAAAATGGAAAAATAGGAAATGACTTTGAGAAGGTAGTCGATGATTATAAGCTAGGGTTAGAAGCTGCAACACTGGAAGTGGCTGATCTCAAGAGGAAGTTGGTGGTTGCAATTGGAGAAAAAGAAACTTCAGATTCGGAATATCAAAGTGCTTTGGACAAAATACAAGCATCTGAGAAGGTTATCAAAGATCTGAATGTCGAATCTGAAAGATGGAGTGAAGAGAAGTTAAAACTTTTGGATGAGAATGAAGAGCTAAACAAAAGGTTGGGAATTGCTGGTAAGCTTGAAGCTGAATTAAACCAAAAACTAGCGGATATAAATAGTGAAAAAGACAGCTTAATCTTCGAAAAAGAGGCGACTATAAGTC